GACGCGAAGGCGGCAGGGGAGGCGCGGGAGACCCAGGCGCTCGGCGGCGGCGGGGACGCGCGCGGCCGCAAGCGCGACAAGGCGGTCCACGAGCGCGGCCACTGGAACAACAAGGTGGAGTTCGTGTTGAGCGTGGCCGGGGAGATCATCGGGCTGGGCAACGTGTGGCGCTTCCCCTACCTGTGCTACAAGAACGGTGGAGGTGAGGCGCGAGGGGATGGGGCGCCGCAGGCTGGGGGGGGCGGGGACCCCCGGGACGCGCGACGCCCCCACCACGGGCCACTCTGCCACCTGTTCCGCGCACGCGCGGCTTCGCACCTGAGCGCCTCTTAGCTCCTGAGCGCCGCTTCACACCTGAGCACCGCTTCGCACCTGAGCGTGGCACCTGCCAGCACGGGGACCTCCCGCCGGGAGACACGCGGAGGCAGGACCAGCCGGTGTCTTGGGCAGGAGACGCTTTGCCCTGGGAGCCTCAGCTTTGCTGAGTGGCCTTGGGTTTGAAGCGTTTGCTGAAGTGCCAGGCACCGCTCTAAGCTTTTCCTGTGTTGTTTCACTTTGGGCTACAGTCACAGTGGCAGGCTGTATAAACCCATCTCACAGATGAGAAAACTGAGGGTCAGAGAAGCCTCTTCCCGACCCAATGAGAAAGCAGGATGCTGCCCTCAAAGGCCTTGTTTTAATGTGGGCTTGGGCTGACAAGTGGGAGAACTGTCAAGTGAGGCTTTGCTGTTCGCTTTCCTGCCTGGTCTTGTAAATCTGCTCCTGAGGCCTTTTGTAGGGCTGGGATGTGGGGCTTCTGTGGTGGAAGAACAGGCAGCAAGCAGTTTCTCTGACTGGTCCCAGAGTCACCCACAACAAGTGGCAGCGAGACTGCCCCACTGTGTAAGAAGTGCTTGGAGGCTGTCGAGCAGGGAAAGGAAGGTGATGAGAGGGTCTTTTCTAGTGACAACATCCCAGTTTGTCAGAAGATGCTGTCGTGAATCCAAACTGCCTCACTCAGAGAAAGGGCTCCAGGCTTCAAGTCACATGAGCAGGACGGCCTCACAGAACCATGGCAAGGGGTCCCACAGAGCCTTCTTCCGGGGCACCATTTCTCTGAGAGAAGCTTGTCTGTGCATTGCCATCTCTTTTGGGTACCCCCTGCTCCTCCAGCAGATGGTCAGCCCCTGAAGAAGGTGGCTCAGGAGTTGGCTGGCAGGAACAGGGCAGGACTTCCTGAGCAGGCCCAGCAGAGGGAGCGGGGAGGGGACTGCTCTGTCTGCGCCTTCCTTGGAGACGCTCCTCCTGAAGGTGCAGACTGCTCCGGGCCTGCTCTGCTCTGGCAGTGAAGGGGCGGTTGATGTCAGTGTCAATGTTGGTGGACAGCAGGGCCCCAGGTGTGTTCTCTGTCCTCAGCTGGGAATCCTGGCCCTTTTCAAAGACAGCCTTTACAACCTGTGATGTGCTTTTGGGAACCAGTGGAATCCTACAGTGTATTCCCAGGGCAAAAGTTGTTTTCACATCTTTGTTAATCCAGGAAATTGTTATACCAAAACAAAAAGCATTGCTAAAAGTAGAAAATAGGGTAAATTGGGTTAATTACAAACTCTGCCACAGATTTAAAAAAAGAAAAGGTTGTAGTGAGCAAAATTTAAAAATGAGTCACTGTTGGGCTTTGCTTTTCTTTTTTTTTTCCTCTCTGATTTGCCAAGTGGCTCCGCTGGTTGCACAGATATCCCGGTTGGGTTGCATTAGTGTCTTAAGAATTCCAGGACCAGCTTTGTGGCTAACATGGACCAGAGGCTTGCAGGTATCATCTCTTAGATTTGAGGGCAGTGATGGCGGACCTTTTAGAGCTTTTAGTAACAACAAACCGCCCACTGTGTCCTTTGTGCCATAGGTTGGACACAAGTGTTCCAGGTTTATGGGTAAAATTGCAGCGTGTTAAAGAACTGCTGAAGCTTTTTAACTGATTAGATATAGATTTAGCAAGCAGATACCTTTATTCCCTTTCATATACTTTTTGCCTTCTAATATAATTGGGCTGTTTTTTCATTGTCCCCCCCCCTTTTTAATCTGCATGATTCTACTGATAGAGCCCAACAGTAGTTTAAAGTACTCTTTTCTCAGTGTGAAACTTTAAATTACTCTCTTCCCCCCAAAAAACTAAGACCCTTTCACAACCTGGTAGATAGAGCCTTCCTATCAGGATTGATCAAAATTGTTGCTCTTACTCTTTGTAGTTTTTGTTTAGCAAAAAAAAAAAAAAAAAAGCAGTTTCAGTTGAAGCCTTCGTTTGTGAGATCAGATGGTGGGAAATAGTATGTTTTCATGCTTCCTTATTAGGCAGGGGAAAGAACGAGGGATTTGGGGAAAATCCCCTTCTGCTTGCAATAGCTCATGTTTACCTCAGTTATTTAATTTGTTTTTCAGAAAAACCTAGGCAGTGGATATTATGTTTCAAGTTAGGAGCACTAAAACTTAAGGTGGTCTTTTTGCAGACTGATCCTGAGCCAACCTGGCTGGATAGATTTTTGTGATAAGGTGACAGGGTCTTGCATCTCAGCGCCACACCTGGGCCTTGTGTGTAGAGGGGCTTAGCTCTTTGAAGCCTGACGTTGCTGCTTGTATGATTCCCTGAGAATGCTTTTCTCTATTAAAAAAGATTTTCTTTTTGCAGGGTGCTCTCAAAGTAAATAATAAGAAAGGTCCCTTCCCCCTGGCCTGTTGACATTATATTAGAATTATAAAGAGGGGTGTGACATCCGGAACAGGGATGGCTTGGCCTGTTCTGGAGGATGAAACATAGAGATTAAAGAACTGAGCTTTAATAAAATACTTTCTTTGACATTATCATCTTAGCTGTGCTACAGTTCTGTGCTTGATGACTAGAAGCCCCATTTCACAGGTGAAAAAGTTGATGCTCAGAGATGTGAGGTAGACCTGCTTAAGGTCATAAAGAGCACAAACCCAGGGCTGACTCGGGTCGTCCCAGTTGCAGCCTGAGCGCCAGCTCTGAGAGCATTACATCTTGCCTGTGGGGGGTGCATAGTAAAGAGTCTTATGCTGAACACAAAATGATGATGGCAGGTTTCATCTTATTCCTTTACATGCTTCCAGGAGCATTCCTGATTCCCTACGTGGTGTTTTTTATTTGCTGTGGAATTCCTGTTTTTTTCCTGGAAACCGCTTTGGGGCAATTCACAAGCGAAGGTGGCATTACATGTTGGAGGAAAGTCTGCCCTTTATTTGAAGGTAAGTATTGCATAATTAGAAAATGAGTTTGCCCTGTAGTGTCAAGCTACAAAGAAGAGCCGAGATTGCTTTGCAGAGATAGAGACTCAAATTTCTCCCTCTCCTTTGTCCTTTTAGGCATTGGTTACGCTACGCAGGTGATTGAGGCCCATCTGAATGTGTACTACATCATCATCCTGGCCTGGGCCATCTTCTACCTGAGCAACTGCTTTACCACTGAGCTCCCCTGGGCCACCTGTGGGCATGAATGGAACACAGGTATGGCCCCCAAGAAGGGTCTCTCTCCCAGTCCTGCTGGGGGACTTGGGATTGGGGCTGTATCTTCGGCCTCTGGGCTCTTGTTAGGAGTCCAGTTTGCTGGAAGTGGCCTCACTGAAACTGGGGGGTCAGTTCTATAGCCAGAGTGTGTTTATTCTGTGAGTTACGGCTGGAGCTAAGCATTGGCCCAAGGATTGGCATGGTGAGGAGAGTGAGGGTGTGCTGGGCTCTTTGCTAAATGCAGGTTTTGAGCCCTCTGGGTACTGGGCAGTGGTGGGTGGGAATTACTCAGGGGGCCAGGGCTCCGGTTCCAGCCCTGCCTCTCCAAGTGGCAGGTTTTCCCTGTGAAAGAAGGGATTAGACTAGATTAAGGGCTGAAGACTGTGGATCTTTGGGTTGATCCATCTTTAAATGATGAACAGCAAATTGAAGAATGTATTTGATTTGTACTTCATCTGAAAAATCCAGGTTTCCTGTGAAAATCCAGATTTATAGTTTCTCTTCAAAAATTAAAAGACCTGGCAGCTTTCTTCCTTGGCCACAATGGCTGTAGCTGAGAGGAAGCTGTTCCTTTAGGTGACACATCTGTCCTCAAATTGTTACTATTGTCACCCAGATTATCTTCATTTGCCTTACCTGCCCAGTCCAGCTAGACATTTGAGTTCAATGCACCTGACCCCAGAATGCAATAATTTTTTAGATTACTTTTGTTTCCTTTAGATGTACTATTTGCTTTTCAACTTGTCATCCTGTCAGGATTGAGTTTTGTAATCTGGGGAGGGAGAATACCTGTCTAGTCCCTTTCTGATAAGGCTGTGCTCCCACAGACATTACTAATTGATTGCAGCACACCTTCTTGGGTCTTTGCCCAAGAGTGCTTCTAAGCAGTTATATTCCAGGTATCTGCTGCCTTTTGGCATGTGACTGGAATTGGATCACATACTTTAACTTTCTCACTACTCATATCAGAATCTCGGGTTAGACAGTGCCTGTGAGTGGCCTCTTGTCCTGAGGGCTGTGATCCAGGAAGACTGGCGGGGTGTTGGCCACCAGCAGAAGGAACAGCAGGCACCAGACCTAGACAGTGCTGTGACTGGGCTTCTCGCCCATGTGACTTTGCTCTGCTTCCCTCTCAGTCACATTTTATGGCAACCTTGCTCTCTCCAGAGCCCTGGTTCTTAACCTTTCTCTGGCAAGGGATTTCACAGAGGTGCTACCGAACCAAGATGCAAGGATGTATTCTTAGAGTCCTCTATGATAATTTAATTGTGTATTTTGAGGGTCCTCTAAAAATAGGCACATGTTCCGGACCTTTGGCACAGCCGCTTTGTAACTGAGGATGGTCATGAATTTGGCAATAGAATGACAATGGTCAAGGGAAAGAAAGCAGAGCGATTTAATTCATACATGGTGTGTTAGGGGGCTGGGATTGTGCCTCAGTGGTAGAGCTGTTGCTTAGCATGTGTCAGGCCTGGGTTCTAGCTCCAGCACTGCAAAAATGTTATTATAATTTTAAAAAATAAAGAAAAGAAAAAGAAATGGTGTGCTGGTACTAAAAGAAGTACAGCTGAGAATGCATAAACTGCTAGGAACGCAGGTTTCACACAAGTGTGACCCGAGGAAGCTGGCCATAGAATCGAGTCGCGGGTAGCCCTTGGAAGAATCAGCGTGGAGGCCAGCAGACCTGCCTCTTACCTGTCAGCTCCATTTATGTCAGGAAAGCAATTTGATTTCATTAAGTGGCATTACCCTACATGTCCATGTCATGTTATCACCCTGAATTGTGTTGGCTGCTAGTGGGTGGTATTTAACTTGTAAATTTAATTTTGCTTTTCCAGTTGTATGAATTATATGGTCACAAAGACTTTATAGCCCAGTGTATATCTGTATATGATGAACTATTTTAATAAAAATAACTGGTCAACTTTGGGTGTCTGAGAGATTTTTTTACTCGAGGGAAAAAAATTTAAAAACACCATGTCAGAGAATCTGATATAACCTAAAGGCTCCTCTCACCCAGAAAAAGGCCCAGAACATAGCAGTCCTTTTAAGTACAATTTTAGTTTTCTAGATTCCTCTTAAAGACTTAACTGTGGACCCTGCAACCAGCTCCTCTCAAAGCTTAGCATTTGCCAGAAGGAGCAGGAAGCGAGTAGACTCCCGCAGTGTTCCCACAGTGGCTCACAGCCTCCTCCATCCACCGCTGGTAACCATTTCTCTAAAGCAGTGGTGGCGAACCTGTGACACGCATGCCACAGCAGGCTGTTTGTATCATTGAGAGCACTGAAAGGTCGGCCATCATTGCTTTAAAGCCACTCGAATGCCTGCAGCATGTGAAACATCACCTACAGGAGCTGGTTCCTGTCCCTAGAGACGGCAGGTGCAGCCGGAAGGGCGTGTACATGTGTGAGTGCAGGAGAAGAAAGAAAAGTGGGCCCTGGCTCTGAGCTAGCCAGTGCTGCTGCCAGGGGCCCTGAGAGCGCAGGCACAGGAGCCCCTGTGCCCCAGGGAGCTCTGTAAACAGGGAGCACAGGTCCTGCGGGGGCCACTGTTACTAAACACAACAAAGGAAATGGAGCTCCGGCAGGAGTTTGTGCTCAGTTCTGTCTTTAACAGAACTGCCCAACTGCTCATTTTATGGCAGAGGGAGAGGGTGCAGGTGGGGTGTCTCCCGACTATTTCTGAACCTTGGATTCTTTCTTTTCAAAATAAAAGGCGTTAGAGAAGGTGATTCTCAGAGGGCCTCTGGACTCTGCCTTGCTCAGCATTCAGGGGAGGGAGATCAAGGAGGGCTTCCTGGAGGAGGAGGGGTTGATGGGTTGCTCCAGGCCTTGGTGGATGAACACTAGGATATTTTTGCAGGAGATTCTCTTGGTCACCAAGTTTCTGAGAAAGCTGCTCAGTAAATCCTTTCTGATTAACTGGCTTGAGTGAAGTAACAATGAAGAAAGCAAAGGTTCTTTACGCATGTTGGTTCATGATGTTTCACGAATGCTCACATCTTCATAAGCAGCTGCAGTGTTAGCCCCCTTTTAGAGAAAAGCAAAGTTTCAGGTGTGTTCCTGCCCTGGGGACACAGTGATTGACTCATTCCTTTAGTCCCTCTAGTTCAGCCAGGACTGTTGGGCTGGTGTGACTTGGGCAGGGAGAGGAAGAAAGAAAAGTGGATTTGGGGATGTGGCTGGAGGACAGGGTATGAGAGGACGTAGAGGGTGGGGCACAGAGAGTCCCTGCCCCGCAAGCTCTCCTCCTGTTCTGATCATCTGAGCATCACTGTTTGTGGAGCATTTATTTTACTGTCGCATCCTTGTTTGCTCAGCGGCCAGGTAAAGCTGCCTGGTTACATCATCAGCTCTGAATGTTTTCCCGGAGTCCACCCTCGTCAAGGTTAATTGTCTTGCATGTCTTCTCTTGTTTCCGCTGTAGAGAAATGTGTGGAGTTCCAGAAGCTGAACGCGAGCAACTACAGCCATGTGTCCCTGCAGAATGCCACCTCCCCCGTCATGGAGTTTTGGGAGTAAGTGGAGGAGCCCTTGTCTCCCGGGGCTGTGGGGGCTGCGTGCTGGTCCTGCCCCACTGTCCTGGCCCCGTCTCTGGACAAAGCAGACCCATCCTGCAGCCAGGCACTTTTGGCTTCTCGGGGCGTCTCCCTGCCCTAGAAGCCTGAGTGGAGATCTTCTAGGCTTCCCAGAGGAACAGCTGAGAGAAAAGCTTTCTTAGCGTGCCTCGGTGTTTATTAGGGCAGGAAGTGCTTGATAAAACGTTAGACAGTTTAAAAATTCATTTTGAGCAGAAGAGACATTGTAGCATGTTTGCAATAAGTGAAGTCAAGAATATATTCAGTCTGGAAGGCGGAAGTCTCCTGGGGGTACAGGTTAGCTCCTTCCAGTAGCTGAAAAGAAGTGGATGTGTTTTAATGGGTGGCACTTACAAAGAAGCAGATTTCTGATGTGCCTAAGGAAGACGTTGGTCTCACAGCATTGGCTGAATAAAGTACTTCAGAAGGTTGTGGGCACCCACACTGGAAGGGGTGGGCCTGTGCAGGGCTGCTGATCCTTGTTGGGGACCTGTCAGAAGCCTCTGAAATTATAAGTAGTAGTTGTGTGGGTGGGAATTTTCCCAGAAATGGGCATAGTTTTACCAGAGTTCCATAGGGTCATGATGCTGTTAGGGCAGCTACATAGTTGTACAGGTTGCTAAATCCAAGGGGGCATCACTTACATTATGGAATGCGCACTCCAAAATTATATAGCGCACAACCTGTCTAGAAGCGCAGAGTGGCCCCAATTTCAGAGCTTCTGAAACAGCGATAGGACCATCCTTTGCTGCAGCTGCTGAAGACACATTTCCCCAATGATTTAAAGGCTGGACTAAATGCTTTCTGAAGCTTTTCAGTTTGAAGACGGCTGGCTTCATGAAGAAGCCTCTCCTCTCCTGATACTAATTAATAATAGTGCTTATGTGAAAGGAGTAGTTTTGTCCCTCTCTAAAGCAGTTATGCTGAATTTAGCCTTATCATTCATGTGCACATCTTTATCCTTGGGCTCATATGTATGTGCCTTAGGTAACACCAGGGCACAATACAGACCTTTTAATTATACTTCACGGTATCCATTACTTACATTCTTACATAGTTTAAAATTTTATATTAATGGTGTCCATTACTTACATGCATTTCGCAGCTTTGTTTTTTTGTGCAGTTTTGGTCTTGAGATGTCACCATACATGTGCTGATACACATAGCTTTTCTCTCTCCTCTCCAGCCCCGTATGTGGCATTTGCGGTGTGAACAGCCTTCCCTGTGTTTATCCACGTCCCCTTGAGGGCCTGTCGTCTGCTGGCCGTGGTCACTGTTGAGCATGCTGAGTGAATGTCTTGTGCTTGAGCACATGAGTGAAGGTTCCTAGGCTGTATCCCTATCATAGGGTGATTTATGCAGCTAGAACAGAAAGCCTGACCCTGGGTAACTGATAAAGAACAAATGTATTTCTTATAGTTCTAGCGATTAGCAAGTGCAAGGCTGTGGGCCAGTTTCATCCCATGGAAGAAGGCAGAAGGGCAGAAGAACACACACACTCAAGAGCAAGAGGTCAAACTCTCCCTTTTAGCATGAATCCACTTCCCTGATAATGGAAACGGTCCACTCATGTACTAAGGGCCCTCTGTGCTGATCACCTCTTAATGGCCCGGCCTTTCACCACTGTTCAATTTGGGACTCAATTTCCATTGCATGAACTATAGAGGCCACATTCAAACCATAGCAATACTGAAGAGCGGAAGTGCGGGGCTATGCAGTCCCTGCATTGTCCATTTTATCAGATAATGCAAAGGGATTGTCTGAATGTAAGTGTGGGAGACTCTCTACTGTGCCACATTCCCTGTAGCACTTGGTCTTATTGGCCTTTGTTTTGCTGGTGTAATGGGTGTGAAATGGTGTCTTAGTATTTTGCATTTGCATTTCTCTAGTTACTTGAGGTAGAACACCTTTTGATGTTCTTTTTTTTTCTTTCTGCCATTTGATATTCTCATCTGTGAACTTCAAGTTTATGTCCTACTCTATTTGAGTCACTTGTCTTTTACAGGTGGGAATCCCTTGATACATCCTAGATATTATTGATGGTGCTATAAATGTCATTTCTCAGTGTGTGGCGTTTCTTTCTTTCTTTCTTTTTTTTTTGGCATTTCTTTCTTACTTATGCTGTATAGAATTTTTAATTTTACTGAAGTCACACTTGTCAATCTCTTTGGTTTGCACAGTTGGTGTCTTATTTAAGATATATTTCTGTACTCCAAGGTTGTAAAAAAATATCCTATAGTTTCTCCTAAGAGTTTTAAAGTTTTGCTTTTTCACATTTAAGAATATGATCTCTCTGGAATTTTATTTTTATGTCAATAGGGTACAAATCTAATTTTATTGCCAGGTGTGGTCGCACATGCCTGTAATTCCAGCACTCAGGAGGCTGAGGCAGAAGGATCACTGTGAGTTCAAGCTCAGCCTGTACTACATAGTGAGTTCAAGACCTGTATAGTGAGACCCTGTCTCAAAAAGCAAACAAAAAATTAACTTTATCATTTATTTAAATAACCAGTTTCCCATGCAGTATATCCTTTCTAAATTGATTTGCAATGCTATATTCTATATATCATTTTTCCAGAAGCACATGTCTATTTTTTGACTCTCTCTCTGCTTTATTGGTATCTGTGTCTGTCTCTATGTCCATATCACATCTACAGTTTTATTATAAGCCTTGAGCTAGAAAGGCACCTCCTTTACTTTTATTCTTTTCTGTTCTTTTCATCTTAGTGTTCCAAATAATTTTAGAATCAGTTTACTAGTTTATACAATGAAGACAACAACCACTACCATAAGGAGTGTAACAGCTCTGAGGATTTTGATTGCAAGCCTATTGAAATTTTAGGTTAATTTGAAGAGAAGTGACATCATGGTTGTGCATCTCTATCCATGAACATGGTATAGCTAGCCCTCTGTTTATCTGAGTGTCTTGGTTACTTTTCTCTCATTTCTGACTCAAAATACCCAACACCCAAAATTAAGGAAGGAAAGCTTTCTTTAGCTCACAGTTTGTAAAGGTTTCAGTCCATAATCAAGTGGCTCCCAGGCAGTTTGGCATGACACAGGGGCAGCAGTGCAAGGTGGCAAAAGACAACAAACACAACAAGAGCAAAAAGGGAAAAGCAAGCCTCTTTTCCTCCCTTGTATTGTATGCGGGCTACCTGCCCACACCATCTCCCTGGCCACTTCTTCCACAAGCTCAGGATGTTTACAAAGGGAGGACCCTGGCCCCCTGCCAAGTCACTTAGTTAAACTTCTAAACTCAAATCTCAAGTTGACACAATGTATGAACCCAAACATTGGGTCTTTTCAAATGCCTTACTAAGTAAGGTATTACTTTGTAAAGCAAAGTAAGGTATTACGTTATAAATACATTATAAAGCAAAGTAAGTTGCTTTACTGTGATCTACAGAACAGCAGTGTTGGTTATCCACCTTAGACCTGGTGAAGCACAGACTCAATCTGAGCATCCATAAGATGTGTGCTAGGAAGGAAGCTCCTGTGTGTCTCTTCCCAGTTCCACTGGGCTATGGTTTCCTGGAAGAATGTCACAGAGACTTGTTTTAGGCCTGTACATTTAAAGGTCTGAAAAACATGGTTTCTGTGCTTTTCTTAGGGAGCCAATCCTGAAACATTAGACTGGACATGATCTCTGTGTAAGCTCATGTCATCTTGCACCATTTGTTCCCTGGGTAACATACACAGAACCCCTCAGACTATTATTTGTGTTGTGTGTTTGTTCATTGTCTGCACTCCCCAGTGAGCAGTAATGAAGCAGCACCAGCCTGGTTATAGTCACCACAGTTGCGCTGTGAAATGCCCTCAGTGAATGTTTAGAAGATGAATGGACCTAAGATATATATGAATGGGTGAGGAGGAAGGCAGGCAGATAACAAGTTCTAGCAAAATACTGTAGGTAAATAGTCACCAGGGTTCTAGCAAGACTCACACTGTTGGGAAGGTTCCCACTCAACAGCATTGACCACTTCTGGGATCCCTTTGCAGCATCCACATCACCCACTCATTTGGACCCCAGGCGGCTGGAAGGGACAGCTTGTCTGCATCCTCCTGTGTAAGGGTCTTTGCCAACTCCCTGGTCATGCCACATGACTATGTATGGGCGACTGAGCCCACAGCTCTGGTTTTCTGTGCAGATTGCATCTCTGTTATTCCCAAACTTATGTTCTTATAGAGGAAATTGGAATCTTACTCTCTTCCTCAGCACACCCAGCCACTGCCTGCAAGTGTTCTGCTCACACAGCCTAGAGAATATGTGGCTGGGAAGGAAGAGCTTCTTCCCTAAATCCAGTTGAAAGTTGATTTCTGGGGCTTCAGATAGAGCATACCTGTTTCTTTTTCCCTGGCGTAGCTCTTGCAGTATTGGATCAGTTTCATGAAAAATGTTTCTTTCCCAGTTGGTGAAAGTTGTCTTTGCTACTCCTTGTATAGTGGTTCCCCACTTCCTTTCACATCTTCATTGTGTTGTCTTCGCAGTGCCTCCAGCTCCAGGGTCTCGCTGCCTGGTCAGAGCAGAGGCCTTAGCTGTCTGCTAGGTCATTCATTTGACAAATGTCTGCATTCCTGGTGCACACACAAAAAACACAGTGCATATTCAGGGAGGCAGAGATGAAAGATGACAACCTAGTCTCTAGAAGCAGAAGTGAGATGAGTCCATTGATTACCGTTCCAATTTTAGTATATGTGCTGCTGAAGCGAGCACCCATCGATTATCATAAAATCACTAACAAGGTATATTTCTTCCCTGCCTGTGGCTGGCCATGGCTTCACCTTGCCATGGGCCCCTGTCCAAACCACCTTGCATCTTAAAATTTTGTTTTCCTTTTTGGGATTACTAGTTAATAAGAAAAGCTTAGGCCCTGGATTTTGACTCTGGCAAGGGGCCTAAGGGGCAGCTTGTCTTCCTAATGTAGGATGGCAAAATC